TTGGGATTTTTATTCATATTGCTCTATCACATCACAAAAAGTTACTAATATTAAGGTGCCTTACAAACCAATTTAGTTATTTCTTTCACTAGCCATGTTCTCAGATACATTAAATTATTCTCTGAACCAAAAGTATTTAAAAATTTTTATCTTGAAGACATAAATACCACAGGTCAATTGAGTTGGATTGTAAAGTCCTATTCTATATATAGATTTCATAAAGCGTATAAAGGTATTGCATATGAAACAAACTTCATTTGAGGATCTTTTCTACATACTTAGATTTCAAATCTTATTGCCATAGTTAGCTATATATATATATATATATATATATATATATATATATATATATATCTATATATATATATACTTTTCGATAGCTTTAAATTCGATTATTTATTATTTTGCTCTAAATAATATTGCTTTTCTAGAAGCTATTAAATCTACGAGGCTGAGCCCCTTTGTTTTGTATTATATCTAGTTTATGATAGTCTATGGTTTTGTTCCGCATTCTAGACACTCTGCAGAACGCTAGGGGCTGGCTACGCGAGACTAGCAGAACGCTACGCCCTCTGAGGGATCATTCAGCTACTTTAACAAACGAATAGGCTCATAGGCGGCTGCAGGATTTGACTACTAGTCGGGCATGGGTGTGGCACAGGAAATGGGTTGGGCGCGCGAAGCGCGCTGCGATTTTGGCCACACCCTCTTTTACGCACCCTTTTTAGCGCAATTTTTTGGTAGCGAAGGTTATTGTAATAAAGTAGTGGGTGGTGTAGCTCCAACACTGACTTCTGTAGTGGTAATAGTACTAGTAGTAGTAGTATTAGTAGAGGAAGTAGAAGAATAGGGTGATGGAGAATGAGCAACAATTGACTGTACATCAACTGTAGCTGTAAAAACTGTAGCTGTATCAACCACAAGAGTAGACTGAGACTCATGATCATCAACTGATTCAGCAAGAGACTGACCTAAAGTAAGAATATGAGAATCTATATTATTGACTTCTATACTGTACTTACTAGGTTCACTTTGTAAACTGTTGTTCCTTTTTAGCAGGCTTGTTCACAAAGGACATAGTGAAGCTAGTCCAGGCTTTTAGACATTGCAACTGACAAGAAAAGAACACTGAAATAGCACAAAATAATGAAATGATTATGCTTTCTAGTGTTGCTGTGGTGGCCCACTGTGATTGGCACCAAAGTCTTACCACCTCCTCCTTTATTTAGTCTCTCTTCATCATCTTGTTATCAGCCTACCATTTATGCATTCATAATTATAAGATTTTCATAAAAAATTGAAATTATAATTGCAATAACTGTTATTAACTATTAATTAACCATAGAATAACTATTAATTATGGTGATGTCACACTTCCGGTCAGAATTTTTGGTCGGGCATTGCCCCTAAATGCCCGACCCTGCAGCCGCCTATTTATAGGCTACTGTGATTGTTTTACTTACCCTGGCAGCCATGAATGCAGCGAAACAAGGGTGAGGACAGCCGGATGTGACGTTTATGACGTTTCCTTATGGGAGTAGTCTGCAGAGTTACCGGATCTGAGGACAAGAGAAGAGATTCATGGTTACCTGAAGGACCTGTCAAGCCAGCTAGGCCTCTCATTGTCTGATCCTCAGTTTGCTGTAGCTCTTGACTCACGCGATCAGTTGAAAAAATTAAGGGAAGAGTTTAACGCTGATGGTAGAAAACCAAGAACAACAGGCTATCATTATATTAACGATGCCTTATGTAGACCTTGATTTGTCTGCTGACTGTATTTATTTGGTTGGAAACTCCCTAGGACTACAACCAAAGAATGCCAAAGAACTCAGTTCTATTTAATGAAATGGACAAATGGGGGGAAAAGTGAAAATACAATTAACGCCAATTAACATTTATATTTATAGACTATTTAACACTATTCATTTTTCTTGCTTTTTTTAAAGAGGATTGTATGGTCATATGGATGGGACTTACGACTGGTAGATACTCAATAGTTTACAATGGTATTAAAATTTTTTGAATGAAATTTTTTTTAATTGTTAAAATTTACCAAATCCAGTCCAGCACTCACACTAACTCTAAAGTCTATTACCCTCTACTATACCATAAGCAGCACACTCTTCCATTGAT